GAAGAGAAAGGAAATGGTCATGGGGTCCTCAGAAGTTCTGGTGCCCCCCAATAATGCCTGATTTTTAATTCAATTTATTGATTCTTTTATAGTTATTTATTTGAATACTTATACTTGATGATGATGATGATGATACTTTATTTCAGACAAACATTTCACCGACAAGTGTAAAATAAAACACAATACATTTCTAAGAAGTACATAATCAATTATGTAGAATTACTTAATTGTTATAATATATTATCTTAGTATTTCTTTAATTGTTTTAAACTATTATAATGTATTGAGTTCTGCTGCAGGGCAAAGGATTTTACAGACACCATCCACCTACTACAAAGTTTAAAATGAAAAATATTCAGCAAACACCAGGGAAACTGTTGTGCTCACATAACCCAGGTTAGTTTAGTCAGATATTTGAAAAAATTATATTTTGTGTATATTTTATTCAAATTTTGTGCTTTATCCATAGGACCTGTTTTGTCCCTCTTCTCAAGAATCATATCACAACTACAATCAGAATCAGAATCAGAAGAATTTATTGTCATTGTCAGAAAGACAACGAAATTGCAGTTTCAGTTACAACCATCCATTACACAACAACAAGAGGGGGAGGAGAGGCCTCGCAGCCCAACAGGTGCCGCCTTTGCAGGAGGAAATAGGAAAAATAAGGAAAAAAAACATCAGGTAAAGAGAGGGGGGAAAAACGCAGCCTGTCTCACACTCTGCTCTTTGCAGGACAGAGCTTGAGATGAAGAAACAAAAACCTCGGCACTTAAGCACATATAGACAAAACAAGCCATGTACGAGGAGGAGGTGTGACGTGCATATGGGTCTCGTGAGTTATGTGTGTGTCAGACCATGAACACTAACTGAAGCACGTGATTTGTCCGTGATTGTGTGTGAATATGATGTCGGGTTCACACACAAGCGTAAACAGTTCAGGGCCACAGATGTTCCAGGGAGGGGAAGGCAGCAGAACAGAGCTTTCTTTAGACATAACATCCAGGGGAGGATAGCTGGCCAGCCAAGCCCAGCCTGGGGAGCCAGATTCCGATAGCAATAATTTGTTTAGGTCAAGTTGACATCAGTTTACTGCCTGCCTTGAAAGTCTCGCTGGTGCTTCTCAGTGGCAAATCCAAACAGCCGAATTTAGGGTCTCCCGCCTTATCTGAGTGAACAACGTTCTCCAAGGTCACACTATATCCATTCTGAGTCCGAGATCCGCTGCCTGGCCACGGTCCTGTTTCAGGATTACAGCCAGTCTGTGGCTGAGCTCCTGTATCATCTGAGTCTGAATCTTGATCACTCTGCAGATCCCATCAACCGGACCCGGCAGCCTCAAAGTTGCCAAAACTGCCGCAGGTATCGCAGGTAAGGGGAAATTCAGGGAAAAAAAAAAAAGAAGACGGGCCAAGTCTTGACCGGTCCGCGGTGATAAAAATGTTGGGGACCACTGATATAGACTATATCACTATATCACTATATGTAATAGAACACTGGTAGAGAAAAAGCAAGAGAGGTGGAGGTATGTAGTGGAAAAGATGAATGAACAGAATACGTGTGTAAATGACAAGGACACAAGTAAAACTCCAACCTGGAGCATCATGACTGTTACAGAGATAAGAAGAAAAGAATGTAGAGGACCATGAGTACTGAAGGTCAAAAGTCCAGATCAATGAAGAGTGTGGAAAAGAGTTGAAGGAGTGTGTTCAATCAGGTTGGAATGGGTGGAGAAAGTGAGATGTGCAATTAAAGGGTAAGAAAAAGAATAAAAAGAAAAGTGTAGGAGACAGTAGTGAGATCAACGATGTATCATTTAGACACAATACCAATGAGGAAAAGACAGGAAGAAGAATGGAAGTCACAGAGTTTAACATGTTGCAGTTCTCTTTGAGAGTGACGAGGATGGATGGGATCAGGAATGATACATCAGAGGCACAGCTCATGTTAGATATTTGGAAAGGCAGGCCAGACTGGGGTGGTTTGAACCTGTTCAGAGGGGAGGCAGTGATTATATATTGGTAAAAAATTCTGAGATTGGAGCCTCAGGGGAGGGGTCTGTGAGGAAGACCAAAAAGTAGATGTATCCCTTGTGCGTGCGAGGACTGAGGCAAATGTAGAGGACTATGGCAAATGATACAAGTTTTACGTGGGTGGGGTCGGTTGGACCCCATTTCTATATACAAGGGTTAAGGATGTGGTGACAGAGAACATTGTGTTAGTTGGTAGAGCATGTAGAGAATAAACCTGTGAAGGGAAAAGCCAATAGACAAGAAGCGGGACATTGCTTTGCCAAAGTAAATTGTTGATAAGCAGAAACTTTTGAGTCCTGCTGCAGATTCTCAATAGAAAGAAAAATAAAATAGACTGTATTTTTTAGGATTATCACCACATCATGTCACTGCAATCATTGTGTTACACCATTATGATAGGAAAACTGCCTTTTGAATGATTCAATGACTCACCTTGCTACACCTAACCCTAACTACACCTTTTCACCAAACATTTGGTTTTTCACCAAATGTAGTGTGTGGTATGTAGTCCACCCATTGTCCACATGTCTGCTCTGTCCACTAAGTTGCTTGTAAATAACGTTCTTCTTAAACTTTTTATGGCTTTGTTCCTGACACTCTTCCATGTCGGCTGAGTTCTCCAATTTGAAATACGGATCTCTGTCAAAGGCGGTCTGGCCATCAGGAGCACCAGGACATTTCCCTGGTAGCCTGGCCCGCTCAGGATCGCTGATGGGTGGAACCAAGTTTGGTCACTCATAAAAACATTAAATGCAAAAGCATTTATTAACATGCAAAATATTCATACATGCCAAGTTAAGCTAAAATATGAGGCAACAGATGATAAAAATCAAGAACCACTGTGGGGCCAAAAGAGCTGGCTCTCTGAAAAGAGCTGAAATCCCTATCACTAATGTATAATCATGATTAAGCCATTTTGCTGTTTTCTCAAAGCTTTTCTAGTTTTAGATGATGGATTGAACAGTGTTCAGACAGATGTTCAAAATTTGGGACTGTTTTGCCTTAGGCCTCTTCAGAACGTTAGCCTGTGTCTTCATCTTCATAATTAGGCCTGTCATGATAACACATTTTGCAGGACGATAAATTGTCCAATGATTATTGCGATGTGTTTTGATAATGGCATGATAATGCAAGTTCACCTTCTCAAAAACTAATAAACTTTAATATTGTACAGAACACTTGACAATGGAACTATCTAAAAAAAAGAACAACTAAAAACAATCAATAAAATGAAAATAAAAAAACAAAACCGTAACTAAATTGGATTAAGTTTCTGTAAACAAAATTGATCATCAAAAAATACTAATCATCAGAATGGAAATGATCAAACTCATTTTAATTCATCATGTGATTAATTGACTGATTGCTTTTTGTGACAGGCTTACTGTATTCATGACAGTTTTTTCCACTAATGCTCTCCAAACAGTCCTAAAATCTATAATTAATAATCCAGAATGACACTATCGTAGCCAGAGCCATATTTTAACCAACTTAGAGAGTTTTACAGGAACAATGCTTTGAGGTCAATGTAGTAAGTGAAAGATCATTGCTATAGAGAGGAGGTCAGGTGAGCTCAGGCCCGGTGCGGCTGTCAGCAGCGGCGTGTTTATCTGAATCATGACCTTTATGTCTGAGGTCACCTTCCCACAAGGGGCTCTTCACTCCAGGACCGGGATTAATAAATTCATCCCAGGCACAGCTGACACCTGGCAAGGATGTAATAGAAGAGAAGTTGAAGAAGCTGGGGTTGGGATTTGTCCTGCTTTAAGCGTAATGTTTACATGTTGCCTCTAAAGCTTCATTCTCACTGCGGCCGGCATTACCTGGAGATCTGAAGTGGAGCAAATATTTACCCTTAACAACATAGGCGGCGTTTAGCTAGAAGGTACACATTCCTGGGTGTCTCTGGATTTGCAGCTTGATGCATGACAAAGTGTTACCAACAGAAGCAGCCATACATCTCTCTCTTTTTCTGCCAGCTTCTTTCTTTGTGATGTTTTCCTTTGCTTTTTTTCTCCAAAACACCAGCTGAAAAACTTCCTCCACCCCTTGCCAGGCTCCATCTCTCTCCACAGAGGTGACTCGTAAAGAGCCAGCCTTCATGCATGAAGACGGAATAAGGGATCTCACTTTCTGTTACTGTGAGGACAGAGAAGAAAGGCTCACAAGTGGAGAAATGAGTAGAACTAGAGACATGCCAAATCCTGGACAAGATTACTGACAGATGGAAAGCCTGCAAGCGAGTGATTCTCTCAAGTGGCAACGTTGAGAAAAGAAATTTTTGATTAGACAAACCAAGAGGGCCAGTACAACAGTACAACATAACTTTGTTTTATGTTGTATAAATAATCTGTAATAGTAAAGGAATCCTAAAAAAGGATATAGGAAAAGAGAAATTTTGGAAGTGAGAAATTTTATTCTATTCCAGATTAAGAACAGATATTTTACATGGAGGTTTATCTCAATAAGTTTGATTATTAAAGAGTCAGTTTATTTTACAATTATGTTCGCAAAGAGAAACTTTCACAAATGTTAATAATGTTCACACCAGCCCTGTTTAGTGGGCTTTAATCAAACTCTAGCTCAATTGTGCAGAATGTACGGATTGTTTGTGGCATATGAATGCAGAATCGAACAGAACTGCATTCATTCAACACAGTGCTTATACTGTGTTGAATGATGTGTGAATACCAAGGAGATCAGAGACTTCCAAAAACAGGAAGTGGATGATAGCGCAGGGCATTCTGGGTAAATATAACCTAAACAAATATGAGAGTCTAGTGCTTGCTCTTTACCAGAGACAAAAGACAAATCCTTCAACTGCTAAAATCTGACACGGCCCCATTTTTTTTTTTACATTTTGTAAAAACAAAAAAAATAATAATCGTATAAAAAGGAAAAGAAATGTTCCTTCTTTACAAATTGTTTTACATTTTGTGAAGAAGGAAGTTGTGCTTGTGTTTTCATCTGAGGTTTTTGTGTCATTTCCTTCAGTGGTTCTTGTTGCAGCGCACCCACAGGCAATTGTTTTGCAATTTTCAGCAAAACAGCTGAAAATTGCAAAGCAAATGTTGCAACTTTGGTCTCCAGTCGAACCGAGTCAACTGGACCTTCAGGTGTACAAACATCTAAATGAAGCCTAGGCAAAAATTCAGCCTGGAAGACTATTATATTCATCCCACCTGCCCAACCAAGATGTCGTCATGTGCCTCAATTCCAACATATCGGTGATGGTCTCCTCCTCCGATCATCAAGCGTCGCTCCCTTGATAAGGTCCAGCTGTTCACCGGCGTCCGCTCATTGGCTGAGCTTCAAGCTTCCTCTATCCCTCCTCCAACCATCAGCTCAAGACTTCTTCAATGTCCAGTCCATTCAGTCTCCACCATCCTCTCCACCACCAGTGTGTGGGCCCAGGGGGGAAGACGTCTCTAATTTTCATACACACAGCGGCTCATTCTCTCTGACAGCGGTTTTCAGTGTAACGTCTTCCTCCTGGGTCCAAGCGCCAAAGACTTTCATTTGTCAATTAAACTTTCTAATATCACTCTCTCTCTCTCTCTCTCTCTGTGAGTGAGTCTC